AAGAACAACCAGTGTTCTTAACTGCTGAGCCATCTCTCCAGCCCCTGAAGAATATATTTTAAAATTTATTACCTCAGGGCTTTTATTGGCTTACAGTTATTAAATTAAAAACAAGGTAAACAATAAATATTAAAATTTTACCATTTCAGATTCATATACCACTCTAATGAAACTTTATATTATTTTTTTATTATTAGCTAAATAATTATTTTTTACAAATTATAATTTAGAGAACCTGAAAACTGTGAGCTATGATAAAGTTCCCAAGATCTTAGCTAGACCTATTTACAAAAGTTCAAAGATGATGGAGGCAGTGAAGTTGGAGAAGATACTATTTTCCTGAAGACATTTTGGATCTATCCTACTAATTCTTTGGGTTTACTATCAGCAAGCATTTATTCATGTCATGACTTTCTTCTATCTTCACTCTCCCTGTTAATAACTACTGCTATTACAATCATAACCATAGGCCTTGATGTAGGTAGTCTAGGGTTCCCCATCTTCTTTTCAAGGTTGGGTTGTACACACACACACACACACACACACACACACGCACAGTTTTGTCATTGACGAGGCTCTGTATACAAAGCTGGGCATGGCAATGCTATAACCCTGGCCCTGGAAGGAGAAAAGAAAGGGAGACAGCCAAAGTTCTCCGGCCAGCCAATCAGTGAGTGCTAGGTTCAGTGACAGTCTTTGTTTCAAAAAATAAGGCAGAGTGCTATAGAAGAGGACATCCAACATCAACTTCCGATCTCCACACATGCATGCACATTTTCATGCATATGTACATATACAAACGTGAACACACCTATACTTCATATACAGAGGGATATATGAACTAAGTTATATTACTTTCCCACCAAAATATATCAATTACTGGAATTGATTATGCCCTCCCATTATATCAGTGCTTCTCAAACTTTAACATACACTAGAATTGTCTACTTTATTTAAATACAAAATCCAGGGATGCATCTCCCAAGATTTTAATTTAGTAAGCTTGAGATAGGCACTAAGGATCTGAATTTTGAAGAGCTCACATGTGAGCTGATGATATATGTATACTTTAAGCAGCACTGGCCTATCATCACTTTAAGTAGCACTGTTTCAGCTTTTATGTTTTCATGGGATTTGATCTAGTACTGTTACTATTTATCTTACTTTTTTTACATTTATTTATTTAGTGTGCTGTATATGTGTGTAAAGAGGTCAGAGGAAAACCTATAGGAGTCAGTTCTTATCCTTTACCATGTGGGTGCTAGGGACTAAATCCAGGTAGTCAAGCTTAGGTGGCAAGGGTCTTCCATTGAGACATCTTGTTGGTCCTATTTCAATATCTTTTTTTAAAACCACATTCTTTTGAGAATTTGATAAAAGCTATGGACCTTTATCATAAATACTTATGGTCAAACAAAACTTTATACACAATTCAAGGTTTATGTATTCCTCCCAAATATTATCAATGAACCATAATTTATCCGCTAAATAAATAATTTTCAGTACATATTATTATAGACCATCGAACTAAGGTTGGTGATAAAGCAAAAAATTAAACAATTAGACATGGCAATTCTCTATCTCCATAAAAGTTTGGTTTTGATAGGGGAGACAGTCATTAGATAATTACAAATTCCCAAGTTAAAGTTAAATTAAGTTGCTTAAAAAATTTAAAGATTTGTTTTTATTATTTTAAATTATGTGTATGTTTTTGTGTGGGTTTGGGTGTGTGAATGTAGTGCCCATGGAGGATAAAGACATCAGATCCCTCTGAAACTGGAGTTACAGGTCGTTGGTTGTAAGCCTCCTCATGTGGGTGTCAGGAACTGAACTTGGGCCCTCAGGAAGAGCAGTATGCACTCCTAACAGCTGAGTCATTGTCTCCAGCCCCATCAGTTAAATTTTGGGCAAACATATGAAGAAGCAACGTAGGATAAGATACTAGGTAGTGTAGGTAGGATACTATGCTAAATATTTACATCATTGTATACTGATTAATTAATTAAAAGATATCATTACATAGAGGAAGGTTTTTCAGCAATGAAGGAAAGCAAAGCAAACTGTTGGGACTAGGGGGCTTGTAATGAAATAAAAAAGAAATTATTAGAGAAAAATTTCAGAAGTTTCTGTGTAGTGGATGGTGGTTAATGCAAAAACAAACTCTTTAAAATGCAGAGAATACGTGTCTGTGGAATGCTCAGCCACAAACGGGGTATGTATATCACACTTCTTCAAGGCTCAGGGGTCATTGCAGAAAAGGGGGCAGAAAGATTGTAAGAGCCAGAGGTCAGGGAAGACCAGAGCAAAACAATGTCTTCTGGACATTTGATATATTTGTATATTTTATATTAAT